AAAGTGAAGTATAGGAAATAAAGTACCTGTGTAATCAGTATTTTATCATTTTCTGTAATCTTTTTATAGCTATGGAAGTAAATGAATCCTTTATGGCACCAGCCACCCAGTAAAACCTAGATACTGTTGCTGTTATTTTGACAGTGCCACTCATATACGCTGATGCTGATGAAAGCCTCCATCTCACATTGTTCTCAATTGTATTGAAGGGGATCAAGTAAAATGATAGCTTGCATGTGTTTTTTAAGAAAATTAAAATCCTGGGATAAGAGTTCCATCTCCATCCCAACTGCGTGTTTCTTCGGAATTACAGTAAATCTCACTGACCTCAAGGAACTTACTTCCAGGTAGGACCTATAATAAACTTTGCAGAAAAAGTCATATTACATATAAATTGTTGCTTCTCAAAGAGATTACAATCACACTTAGCAAGAGGGGAAATCCCCTATACCCCCTCCCCCCAATCTATTCTAAGGAGTCCACTAAGCTTGTTATAGCTAGTAGTCTTTTACCACTACATATAAATGTTCACATTTACATATTTCAGTTCTGTTTAGAACTGTAGAGGGGTACAGAAAAAAACTTTAATGAAGGAATGCAAGATTCATTCAGGGAAAATAACCTGGGAATGGAGAGGGTATGAGAAAGAGACTCAAGATAACTTCACTTTGATTCTGTTTGGTATAAGAGGAGGCAGAGGGAATGGAGAAAATTAGGGCATTAAGACAACTTGGCAGTAACATGTTTTCAAATCCAACATTCAATGTTTTCCTAAAAGACCTTAGTATGAGCTGAATTAATATGTTTCATATTAAGCAGACGTTTGTATGAGGGGGGTGTCTGTTTCTTTTTAAATTCTGTATTCTGCCATGTTATGATTCATTGGGAAGAAAATTCAAACATCAAGATAACAATTTCCTTGACAGGTTGTGACAAAATTGAAACACAAATAAAAACAAGCAGCAATTTGTGTATCTTGCCTTTAACAATCATGCCAATTTTGAATACAGCTTCATAATATATCGCTCTGATTTCCTAATTTGAGATGAGTGGTGGAGCCACATAGTTGTTCTTTATCTGTGAGAGACTGTAGGAAAGTGAGTAAAGAGATTTTGAAGGTATATCTCAGCAGAGGCATCTCAATTCATCTGCTAAGAGATGTGAGAAAAAACATTTCAAAGAGACTTTGCCTCAATTAACTTGCTCTGAGGCTGAAACATTTCTCTTAATTTTTTCAAGAATTGGTATTTACCCCAGGCTGACATGAAAGCTACCTTCCTGGAATCCATATTGCTCGTTTCCTTAGTTTTATCAGCCACATGGGATTGACAGTACAGTACCAAGAGAATCACGATCATCTTCCCATTCCCCCTTTGAAGCTGATGGAATCCCTCTGCTGCTTAAGCCTTCCTTTGTAGTGTTAAAAAGGAATTCAGACACAATAGCTTTTGTCTCACTTATATTGTGTGCCTCTTGTTTCTCTCAGAAATTACTCCTAAAATAAAGGCTCAACGTTTTTGCTTTGTTCCCCTTCCACCCGCAAAAAAAGGCGCTGGACTAGGACTGTGGATATAACATCCCAGTCCATTTCCAGCCATGGAAACTCACAGAGTGACATTGGGCCAGTTGTTTTCTCACAACTAAACCTACGGATAATATGAAAGGAGCCACCTCAAGCTCCTGGAGAAAAAGTGGGATATAAATCATTATCATCATCATCATCAACACATTGTGGTATTATTGCAAGATACACTGTGAGCTGGCCCTCTGAAAACATAAATACACTCCACCCTATCAAATACACAATTGGTAATAAGACTGATTGAACTTGACTGGATTTACTTTCAGTAGCAATGTATAGGATTGTGCCACAAAATTACAAAATTCTATTACATTAATAAGACTCTTTTGAGTGTTAATTAGCTTGGGCAAAGAAACATAACATGTATCAAACTGGTAAAGCATTTGTTATTCCAGGAAATTTGCTCGATTTACAACTGCAGTCCTCACCATGTCAAGAAGCCTTCAAGTAATATAGGATTTGTAGAAGAGTATGGAAATAACCTTGAGGAAGTTATGCAACAGCTTTTACATCAGCTTAGCCCAGAAAGACAGGAGAGGGTGAGGAAGAAACTCCAGTTTGCCCCACCTGACCTTTTTTGGTATAAGGAGGGAGAGAGAAACTCTGTCAGGTTTTCAAGATTCTTTTATTATGCTCTACAACCATAGAGTTCCAGTAATTCTCAGTGTCTGTTCCATGACATGGCCTTCCTTGAAGGGTTGACAGGATTAATGAACATCAGGAACAAAAACATTCCTAAGAATTCCTCTAAAGCTGGTAAGATTATCCATTTTATCCAGCTTATTTTTATGGTAAATCCGTTTTAGTATTCATTTACATTGTATAACTTTTCTATTGCTTTTTAAAAATTTTGTTAGCTCTAGAGTAGAAAAGTGGGAGGTCAACAAAAAACACATACTTAATTTTGATTTTAATTAAGTTGCAGGGCTATAGGCTTCTCCAGTCAAAAGGAACTCTGAATGGTGTACAGTTCCCACTGGGATAAAAGCAAAAGACAATATAGAGTCATAGAACCCAATGAATAAAATCACCTACATAAAACCCAGGCATTAAATAGCATCAGCAAAACACAGTTAATAACTTCTGATTACTTGAGGGAAAAACAATCATTCAGATCTCAGGGTCTGTTTGAATAGCCAGGTTTTAATCAACTTCCTAAATGCCAAAAGAGAAGGGACCATTTGAATATCTAGGGAATGGTATTCCTCAGAAGAGGGGCAGTGATAGAGAAGGCATTTTCCATTGCCCCCTCATTGAATGAGGGGACATGAAGAAAGCTCACTTTGGGCAGATATGATTCAGGGAAGGTGGTCCCAGATATCCAGACCCTGAACCATGAAGGGCTTTAAAAGTGACAACCAGCACCTTGAATTGCACCCAGAAGCCAATGCAGTTCCTGTTTCAACATTTCCCCCCTCTTGTGCTCTTACAGAGAAAGCAAGATTGTACCAATAGAAGAGAATATATGTAGCTCAGGGTTGAACCCCACACTCACTAGCACTGATGATGTTACTTAGTCAGGCAATGAAACGTCTACAATCAAGCAACCAAGCTCAGAGAGCATCAAGGACTCCAAAGTATGATTGGTTGAAGATAAGGTAACTTTATACCTATGTGTACTGTTCCATTTCCATTGTGCATTTATACTACTTAACAGTGAATAAGCAAACAATTTGGCTTTATTCCTGCGCACCTGAAGAAGAGCAATTTTTGACTTTAACAATAACTCATTCCTTGGATGGGGAATTTATATCCTGTCACACCAATGGAGCAGATGGGAGTTTCTCCTATATTTCACTAATACATAGAGACACTAGTTTGTAATGGAGAGCCACTTTGGTGCACTCCATTAAGGCACCAGGCTAGAAACCAGGAGACTATGAGTTCTAGTCCTATCTTAGGCATGAAGCCAACTGAGTGGTCTTTTCCACTCATTCTCTCAGTCCTAGGAAGAAGGCAAGAGCAAACCACTACTGAAAATCTTGCCAAGAAAACTGCAGGGACTAGTCCAGGCAGTTGCCAGGAGTCAACACTGACTCGAAGGCACCAAAAAACCCCAAAGCAACTTTGTGATGAATGTATTAACTGCATGACTCATCTGCCTGGTGCAGTGGTTTCCAATATTATTCATTTTATAAGCAAGATTTAGGTGAAACCTGAAATTCAAGAGCATAAAATATTCTCACAAATTCTACCTATTCCATGGACAGGACAAAGTAGGTTGGAACCCTATGGCTTCTCCCATCTGCAAGCCTTTCCAGCACCCAGCTGACCATCACCTCTTCCTCCTCATCAGGAAGGAAGGACCATCATTTCCTGAAGAATATGGGTCAGGTGGATTATTGCAACACTCCTGTCTTTGCCACCCATCATCTGAGGTTAACTAAAAAAAAGTGCCTGATATCTTTCTTGAATAGAGAAAAACACAAAAAATAGAGTATGAAACTCATGAAGTTGACAATGCTTACTTTATGTAGTTTGATTGTAGAATTTTTTATTCTAATCATTCATAATCAATTGATAATTTTGCCCCCTAAAAGGTAAATGTCAAGGAATATAATCCAGTCAGTGAACAAGGAGCAAGTGAACTTCAGTCTAAATATTATTCCATTAAGATCCAACATGTAAAGCCCTGTCCTTACCTTTGTTTGCTGAGAAAGCTGCAAGCCTCTTTGGGTAAGCATAAAAATGTCCAACTCAGTACGAAAGTGTCATGGACCTTGGCCTTTTTGATTATATTCTTTGTTTGGGACTAAATGAATTGCATTCCTCTGTACGACGATAAAAGAATTAATTCCTCTGTTCTAATAGAAGTGAGTGGGGCTGCCTTACTGCAATGGTGGAGAGGCGAATTTTTCAAAGGTGCATGGAACATATATGTGAAAAAGTAGAATTCAAGACAGAATGTCTCTTTCACCTATTAGTAAATTGATCCATTTTGCAGAGCTTCCTTGGGATTTTTTAACCAACCCAAAAAGGCAGAGATCAGAATGTTTGATCTCTGAAGTTGGATAGAACAATGAATAGTAGCAAATTGTAGGCCTGTGTGAGGCAGCTTGGATTTGCCTCAGCAAGATGCTTTGCACTGAGAAGTAGGAATTTGCGTCGCAAGGTGTTTCATGTTGCCTCAAAGCCTTCAGTGAAAGATAACTTAGGCCTGAAGAGAAGCCTTTTCAGGTCCACTAGAACAGCTGTAAGAGGCAGTCCAAATAGGCAAAGTGAAACAACATAATCACTTTCAGTGACTCTTATAAATGAGGGTGCCCTATTGCTTCACAAAGCAGCTCTGTATCAGTTAGGTCTATCAAAGCAAAGTATCCCTGCATAGCCCTAGCAAAGATTTCATAGTAGTAGGGAAGGAAGATCCCTCAGGAAAAAAAATGAATAAACAAAAACACCAAAAAAGATTTATCTCAAACAGTGTTTAATCAAGCTAGATCAATTATTACAATGGTATGCATTGTACATTTCTATAAAAAAATTAAAATATAGAATAGATGAGTTCTTCCTGTCAAACAGAGGTTGCAGGTAATTTTATTTTTGTAATGAATGTCCAGGAAGATTAGTAGATCCTATAAAAGAGAAATTTCAAACTAGAATGTTTATCACTCAAATGAAATACTGAACTGTTCATTGTAATCAAATTATTTATTTATTTATATTTCAAATTTGGACACTGCGCATCTCATGAGGAAGTAACTCTGGGCGGGTTTACAATAAAATTGCCTTAATAATGGCAAAAACCAAATAAAAATGGCAGGCATTTAATCACAATTGCTTAAAGAACCACATTTATCATAAAACCATTTAATTTGTAAAGTATATGTAAAGTATTATAGCAGGAAAATAATTTAGCTAACACAAAATATGTGTTAACACTTCTTCCCACGCAATTAAAAGTTCTTTGTATATCAGTCAAGTACAAAATAATGTGTATTTCTGTGAATCACCACTCTATCAACCATATTGTTCAAGGTCTTACATGATGAAATTATTTCCATTTATATGAATAATCAATTTAGAAAGTAACCATAACTGCAAATATTTACCATGTGCTAGCTTTGATTCTTTTTTTTTAACTTGAGTACATAACAATAAATATTTACACTGCATCTTGGTCAACAGACAAGGCCAGGTCTGCCTAAATACGGGATAGGTTAGCTGCAGAAGCAGCAGATGACTGCATTCAAGATTGCATGTGCTGTGAGCAGAACAACCCCACTGGCAGAATGGGTACCCCCTATGTCCTCTCCTCCCAATTTTTTCCGAAAGGTTAGAGAACATTTCAAAGCAGATTTGGAGGAAGTGCAGTGGTTACAGAAGGGGGAGGAGAAGGGGAAAACAAAATCTCATTGGACAAACAAGAGCCCATACATATAATACAATGCTGGTGAACCCCAGAAAAATATCCAGTATTTTTAAACAGAGAAGCAATCACTTGTCAGTATCAGAGGGTATTACTGTTGTCCCAAAGATTACATTTTACACAAAACAGCAATTTAACGTTGGATGGGACTATTGCTACTTCTTCATGGAATTCACTTACCTAAATGCTGCCTTTGTAAAAGGTTAACAAGAGTGATTGGATGTTTTATCCCAGATGAGAGTGAGGATGGTGATGTGGACTGATAAGGCTGAGTAGATCTCATTCCAAAAGTATTTGGAATATGATTTCTACTGTTTTGTGATGATACAAATGGTGACATATAAGAATTCCCACTGCTGAGCATTTTTAATGGAGATGATCTAGTAATAAAATGACCAAGAACATTGTATCATCAGTGAAAGCAGAATACATATTTTTGTGTACAGTAGCAGTGGACTTGTTCCCCTTACTACAAACTGAGTAACTGAGAAATGTCATTATTCAGAAAATGACAAAATAGATGAAATGGGAGCGTTCCTGTTAGAAGATATAATGATTCTAAAACATTGTTTCTTCTATTAGTTTATATTTTTTTAAAAAAAGAAAAGAAAAATGATTCTACAAGAATGAATAGTAAGTAGGTTCCAGAACTAACAAACTATTAAAAGTAGATAAATATCAAGTATGGAGAGAAGAAAGAAACAAAATAAGCAAAAACAGACAAAAACAGAAGAGAGAATTGACCTGCTCAGAAGTTAGTTGAGGTTTGCCCATATATCCAACACCTGGCAGACGGTACAGGATAATGAAAAC